GAGAACTCCAGGCAGCCTGTGTTTGCACTCGGGGCTGTTTCTAATCATCCAGAATATAGCGAGTCTATTTTTAGTTGTTGTGGGGTTTTATTTTAATTAATTACACAATTCTGCTTTCCGCCATTTTTTCACCTCCCCATGACCACTTACCCCACGCTGCTGCTTGTTCAGCCAAAAAATACCCCCCCCCCAAAACACCACAGTGCCTGATTCACTGGCTCTTCAATGTGTCGTGCCATCTGTGCCTTTTGTCAGCCCTTACACACCACAGGACCACGTTTGGGGAAGAAAATGGAGTAGAGGAGTTCACTTCCAGAGGAGTGGACCTCTTCCAGCTTCTGCTGACTCCACTGGAGAGAGGGTGAAGATTCTTTTGAAACCTGCATCTTTCATTAATGTCAACTAGTCAAGGCTGCAAACGGCTCATTTTCCAGGTCAGGGAGCCTGATGCCTGCGGGTGATTTGGGAAGTTCAGAAGGAGTAGGAGGGGGGCATGTAAGTAGAAAGAAAAATGAAAGAAAAAAACCCTGCGAATTCTAATTATGGAGCAAAAGAAACTGCTTCCTGGGAATGGTGACATTTATCCAGAGTTCACTCCTGAGTGAGGTTGGCTAGTCTGGGGAATACAGGATCTTCAAAGCCAGTTTTGGCCCTACACGTGGTCCTGGCAGCTGTAGTGGCCACCTCCAGCACGATGGGATGCAGGCAATGAGCTATCACCAGCCTAGCTCTTCTTTAAAGCAGTGCTGGGCAGGGCAGAGGGGTTGTCTAATGCATATTTGCTCCTGTGTTGGGAGCCTCTGGAGCTCTCGGGGGCTCCCTCTTCATTCCTGGGCATTTTCCTCCCCATTTTCCTCTCCCTACGTGCTCACCCACAATTCTGTGAGGCCGAATCCAGCTTGTGACTGTTTCTGATCCCAGTCTCACCAGCTGGACTCTGGAGAGCAGCCCCACGTGAAGTCATGTGAGTCACGGCTTCAGGAGACGAGGCCAAGGGCTTTCTTGGCTTTCTCCTCTTTTCCTCCTCCCACTGCCCCCAGCACTGCACCCAGGTTGGTTTTCAGCTGTGGTTTGGATAACATGTTTATGTAAACACCTCAGTTGGAATCTGCCTCTGTCCCTGGGGACGCTGCCTGGCTCCGACCTGGAGCGGGCGATGCCCCCAAGGTGCTCGCACCATCCTCAGCCTCTTTCAGCTGTAAGGAACAGCAGCAAAGGTGGCACCTCAGGGACAGAAAGGACCTTATGGTGTCAGGAGATGTCCAACTGTTTCAGTTTCTCTTAAATACAAGCTTTGAGGTTTGGTTTGGTTTGGTTTGGTTCTGCTGCTGATGGTTTAGGTTTTTCCTCGTGCCCTGCCTGCCCAGGGCTCCTCTCTGCTCACCTCTCTGCTCCTAATGGGCTCCTAAAATTTGGTCGTAGGAGCAAGGCAGATGTCTGTTTTCCTTTTCTAATTAATAGATATAAAATGCCTGCCCAGGGGGCTCACTTTCAGCTCATTTACTGTGCATCCAATGCCAGATGTTGGGTTTTTTTCAATACCAAGGGGATCTGTGATGCTCAAATTGTCACAGGCGAGACAAGACTTGCTCTTTGGTTTTGGGCTTTAAGGAAGCCTTAGATGTTAATAGAGGATTTTGAGATTGGATGGTTTTGCAGTGGAAATCTGAAGGATTGTTTCCCTTAACACCAGGTCAAAGGGAAAATTCGTGATCTTTTTCAGAAAAATGCGAAAAGAACGATGGGCAAGAGCTAATCCTTCCTTTGCTCTTAAACCCATCTCTACCTGGCTGTTACATCCAGTGATGCCTCTGGTTTAAATCCAATGCTACCTGGATCTGGAGAAAGGGCATGATGGAAACAAAAAAAAATGCTTAAAATTAAAATTTCTTGCTCCTCTCGTCTCACCCTCGGTCTGGTGGCACTCTGCCATCCCTGCTGCGCCTCTGGCAGCCCCGCGGGTCCCCAGAGAGCAGCCTTGCGCAAGTGCAGGCTGGTGCATCAGCTGCAGGCTCCTTTCTCGGGGCTCTGCCGGGGCTGCACTTCCTCCAGCCTTCGGTCAGGTCAGCCTGAAGGATTTGCACGGCTCTGCGTGAGGGACCAGGGAAGGGCAGGCTGAAGGTGCCGGTGCTGGTTCACGAGTGGGCTCAGGGGCTTCGGGTTCAAAGCTTTGGTAGCCATCAGGCACCTTCTCCTGGGCAGATGGAGTTGTGGAGGCCACCTGTAATCAAGTTAACCCCTTACCTGCCTCTCCCTGGCATGGATGTGTCCACCTAAGGAGGGAGGATTTGATGTGCATTAAGGGGACAAAGCAAGCGAGACGAGGTCCAAGCGGGTATGTAGGTCATGGGATTGCAAGGGAATAGGGCCGGGGCTGCTGGGCAATGGCATCATCTTTATCTGTTTCTGAAGGATGGGCCCTTGGCAGCGCCCTCAGCAGCAGTGCTGCCTGCTGATTCACCCTGCCAGCTCTTGCCTGGCAGCAGCAGCAGCAGCAGGAGAGGGCAGGGGCACCGTGGAGACCCAGCTATGGGTGAGGGCAGCGGGACCCGCAGGGGCTGGGGCAGGGCAGGCTGCTGGGGCTGTTTCACAAAGAAGTTGCTTCATGAAAGGAACAGAAAGTGCAGGGGGAAGTGACAGAAAAAGCACCAGGCAGAGGGATCTTTGCTGTGTTTTTTTTCTTTTAACGGCAAATTAACCCCCGGTTTTAGTGCTGTCGTGCCTTCAGATCTTGAAATGTGGGCAAACGAGGCTTTTTGCTTTCTGTGCATCATTTGACGAAAATCAAACCTAGCAGTACCGAAGGCCCATTTTATTCATCTTCTGAATGAAAGGATTATTAAAACAGCTCTTTGGCTTGTCCCCCATGCCCTGAACACCTCCGTGCACACATGCCTGCATCCCTCGAGGTGCCCTGACATGCACCTAAATATTGTCAGTGCAAAATGCAGGCGGGCAATGGTGAGCACTGCATGTTGCTAAAGCACACAGCATCTGTGCTGCTGATCCATGGGGGGGTTGGAGGGGAATGCTCTGTAGTGGGTGTATTGAACACCATGAAGGAGACACTGGGATCCTTTGGGGTGCCCTTAAAAAAAAAAATCAGCAAAAAGCAGAGAACTGCTCTGCTGAGTGCTGGGTCCCCGTGGGCTGCAGGCCTGCCCCTGCTCTCTCCCTGCCTGCTGGTCATGCCTGGTGGGATCTGAGCAGCCCCTTGTTGTCCTTGCCCTCCTAAGCCTACCCCTACCACTACAGAGCTGGAGGTGTGACATGACCTTGCACCCCTTTGCCACCTGCAGCCTCACCACCTTGTTTCAGGTGCCACCTATGAAATTTTCAGCCTCCTGCCTCTTGTTGTGTTTAGCTCAGATTCCCACTGCTGCCCGTGCCAGCAAGGAGCTGGTGTCCAGACCTCTTCCTCTGCTCCATCTGCTCTCCACAGCTCTGAGACCCCAGGGCATGACCTGGTGGGCAGGAGGTCCAGGGAGGTCCTATTGTCCCACTTCCCCCTGCAAGGTGCCCTGCAGATGAGGAAGAAAAGCAGTTTCCCATGAGGCGAGAGTTTGACCAGGATAAACACCAGCCCCTTCCCAAAGCAGTGCCGGGGGCTGGAGCGCAGGGGTGGGACGCTGTGGGAGGTGGGTGAGCAGAGTTGTCGTGACAGCTCCTCACTTCCCAGCTCCTGCCAGGTGCTGAGCAGGCAGGAGGAGCTGCCTGCCCACCCTATGCTGCCTCATTTCCCATCCCCACCACCGCCTCAGTCCCATCCATCCTCCTGAAACCTTGTCAGCTCTCAAGGAATGGTCTTTATCAAGGCATGGGAACCAGGCAACTGGTCCCTCACGCTCCTGCCAAGGGAGCGGGCTGTGCTCGTGATGGCATGAATGTCCCTGTCACTGCTGCGAGGAGCTGAAACCAGCACTCTGACTAATTAGGAGGGTTGGGGAAAAGCAGATGAGGGGATTAAAGACAAATAAAATTGATGCTAGGAAATAGAAATGACAGTACCTGTCGCCTGGGAAGAAGGAGGTGGGATGAAGAGGAGGAGGATGTAGACGAGTGCTGATGGGTTTCACTCCCGAAGCTGTTAGGGAAGAAAGGTGTTCTGGTGTTGAGAGCTGCAGCTGGAGGGATGGTCCCTGTGCCATTACAAGCTTGGGTTTGCTGGGGCTGGGAGGTGAGTTCCCCCCACCACGTTTGTGCAGGGAAGGGAGTGTGTGGGGTGACTTGCAGGGAGAAAGCCACAGGGAGCAAAAGACAGGTTGAAACAAGAAGTGGCTCGTGGGTGTTCAGCACTTCGGCAAAGGGAAAGGGATGGGTAGGGGACATCCAGGAGGATGTCCCCCACCCTCTCTTTCAACTCACAGTGGTGATGTTTCTAACTCAGGAGTCCTTTTTTCTTTATTGCATGGCTTTCCCCTTGGCTCACTGGCTCCTAATGCTCTTTTCTTAGTGAAATCTGTGAGTGTGGTGTGATTCTGCTGGCTGGCTCAGGGCAGGGGGACGTGGTGGGCTTGGGAGGGGGCAAGGGCAACACCAGAAAGTGCTGTGGAGCACTTTTCCTCCAGCAGCCTGGTCACCCTGGCACAGAGGCCCCCAGGCAGGGACCTTGCTGCATGAGGTTTCTGTAGCATGGGGTGGAGGACAGCAAGAGGAACACCCAGAGTGGTGGTTTGAGGGCCAAAAGAGTTTTAATTTTAGCTTTGTCAGTCGCTCCCTCTCTCCCCAGGTGGATTGCTTGCCTCTGTGGTTTGGGTTTCTCCCCTGTCAGATGATGATGCTGGTAATTCACTCTGTGGGTGAACTGGGAGGGTTAATCAACATTAGGGTGGTAACTGAGGATCAGGGTGTTGTGTGCAGCTGAACCGTGGACATCTGGCCAGACCCGAACCCAAACCTTTTCTTTAAAGGCAGCAATCCTTGGATGTTCTGCCTTGAAATCAACAGCCCTTGACTGCTTCTGTCTCTTGACCATTCCCTCTCATTCTCTCATTTCGTAGCCCTGCTGCTGGACATCATGATTGTGGCTGGTTTGCAGAAGCTGGCCAAGCGGAAGGGCCCGTACGACATCAACCCCGGCTTGTTGGACTACCTGACCATGGACACCTACGCCTTCCCAGCCGGGCACGCCAGCCGGGTGGCCATGCTCTCCAAGTTCTTCCTCAACCACCTGGTCTTGGCCATCCCCCTCCGCATCCTGCTGGTCCTCTGGGCCTTCTGTGTGGGGTTTTCCCGCGTCATGATCGGACGGCACCACATCACGGATGTCCTCTCCGGCTTTGTTTTTGGCTACCTGCAGTTCAGGCTGGTGGAGTTGATATGGATGTCTTCCAACACGTGTCAGATGTTGATATCCATCTGGTGAACACGGGGGACTTGAAACGGCCTTTCCACTGGAAACTTGCAGATACTCTGAGAGTCTCCCTCCCAGTATTTTCTACGTGTTGTTTGTTGGAAGTAGTTGTAACTTCCATGAGTAGTGGTGTTTTTTAATGTTGCTTCCCCACCTTAGAAAAAAGAAAAAAAAGGTTTCTTGCAATGGATTGGGTTTTAGCAATCGAGGGCCATACCTGTGTTTTGGCCATATTCTCAAGCTGTGTTTGGACAGCTAGCTAATTAAGCTTTATGGGTGAGAGAAATGAGCTCCATGTCCGCCTACTTTAGGTGGTTCACACTGGCACCTTGGTATGTCCTCAGGATGGGCAGTGCCTGAGAGCTTCCTGAGAACACATTCGTTAACTTTTTTGAGGCTAAATGATTTTGGCCACTGTGCTTTTTTCTCTTTTTGTAAGCCCAGCAGTTGTGTCTTGTACAGAGTCAGGACAGGCGATGCTGGCACTTTACAGATAATAAATAATCATAAAAATCCTGCCCTGTTTGGTTCTTCTCATGAGGGAAGGGACAAACCCACCCTAGTGTGGCTGAGGCACATACTCAGTGAGGAGCAGGTGCTGCAGTCTTGCTGACTGAGGGGATGCAAGTGATGGCTCACAGGGTTTGCATTGGGTAGGGTGGACCTAGATGGGTGCTCACTAAAGGAAAATCTGCTCTGTGAGGGTGTTGGGGGGAGTTTTTGGCCTGGTAAGGGAACAATGCAAGTTGCCCACTTTCATCCTGGTAGGGATGAACAGACATTGTGCTGGATCGTGGTCATTTTACAAAGCAGGTCTTGATGCGCAGAAAAAGGTCTTTTTCTTTCTCTTCATGGCCATGATTTTATCATTATGTCAAGTGCTGCTGTAGGTGGGAATTTCCAAGGTAAGCCTGGTACAGCACTGCCTGTTTCTGGTACACCCAGCAGTGTCAGTGAGCTGAGGGCTGCCCCTGTGCCTGCCTCTGCTTGCTTGGCTGTATCACCCTTACTGAGGTTAATTCTGAACATTTCTGTGTCTTAGCCTGTCTGAAATGAGGAGAGCACTCCTGACCTTCCTTGATTGCAAACCTGAGCTAATTGTTGTCTGTGAACCAGTCTGAGATCACTGAATATAGAGTTTGATGCCCAGCCATGGTGCTGCTCCTTCCCATTATTGACAAGTGTCAGCCTTGAAACCTGGTGGATCCTTACCCAGGTGGTGGCCTTGCTCAACATGGTGTCTCTGAAATGGATCCATCCTCATGACTGTCATAAGAAAATCACATATTTTGAACAGAATGTGCCAGTTCTCTATGATTTCTCTGTCTTTAGAGTTTGATGTTTGGCAGGTGATGGATACCACCAGACTCTGCACCTTCCTTGATTGGACAAATCCTGCAGAATGGAGGGATCCTGTCATTCCTGCCCTCCTGTCTATCCCAAGTGAGCAATATGCACCTGGCTTGGAAGGCCAGGGAGCAACCAGCTGGATCTGGCGCTGTCATCTTTCCCTGCACGTTGGGGAGCTTCCTATAGGAGCTGGTGAGAAGAAGGCATTCAGATAATGACTGCTGCAAGCTGCTGACATTTGTTACTCTTTGATGATTAATATGAAAAGAAGCAAAACAGATAATCTATCCCTGGCATGCATCTCCAGCTGGGATGTCAGCACAGAGCCCTGGGAGCCGCTGACTTCCCGCACTGCCGGCTCCGGGGCTGGAGCAGAAGCGTGGTAAGGAAGGCGACCATGTCCTTTGAAGACGAGCCTCCCACGGAGCTCACGGATGGGCTGTCCCTTGGGAAGGGTTTTTTTCAGGAAAGGGGAGAGCTCAGGGTCTCAGTGGTTGTCCCTGGGGGTTGGTGCAGCAGCGGGCGGAGCAGCGGGGGGTGGTGGGTGCTGCCCAGCTCCTGTCCCCTCCCGCTGCTGCGGGTGGGAGCAGAGATGTGCCGCCCTCCCTCGGGGCTTTTCTTTGCCAATATCCTTCTCCTGCACAGATTTATGTGAAGAAGTGAGCTGTGGTGATTTTCCTTCCCTCCAGGCACTATTACACTTGGCAGAGTTTATCCTCACCCCCGGGAAGGATGGAGGCACGTCACTGAGCTCTGGTGGCGTGTGACGCACCTTATGTGTAGCTGGAGATGGTGGGTTCCTGAAGGGATAGGGGGCAGGGGAGGACTTTGCCCTGATGGCTTTGTGGGAAGCTCTCACTTTGTGTTTCCAGGATTTACTGAACCTTTGCCAGTAGGCCTGATGAATCTACAGGCATGTTGCTGGGTTCTGGGTTTTCTTGCACTTATGTTATGTTCTCCTGGTATATCCAGGATGGCAGCATGGCTTTGGAGGAGTTCTCCTGGTCTTTGCTGGTGTAATCAGGAGAGCGTGGCCTGGAGAAACTGCCATGGTGGGTTAGATCAGCTGAGCTGGCCTCACCCCAGCACATGGTGGCAAAGCAAGGCAGGAGAGCAGAGAGAGGTGAGCTGGGGTGATCCACAGGGGTAAACTGGGATTCACAGGATGAGACTTTCTCCCACACAGAATTTCTCTGGGGAGTCTTCCTCCTCAGCCTTCCTGCAGCCTGTGTCCCTTCTCTCCCCCAGTCCTTCAGTGCCCAGAGTGGGGGATCCCAGTGCTCTGTTCTTGCTGCAGGAAGGGCTTGGGGAGAGACCCCACAAGGTGAGTGTGGATCTGGGCACAGAGGCATTGGGAAAGACCTGGCAGAGCCTTTCCTTGGCCGTGGCTGCCCTCCCAGCAAGGCAAGCCATCCCTGGTCCTTCTCTCCAGCTGCTGCCATGCCGGAGGTACCGCTCAGAAACAACCAGAGCTTCTGCGGAGAAAAGCAGCTTCTGTCTCTATAGCAACAGCGAGGGATGGCGGGCACCGTGTCCCCTGTCCCTGCCAGTCCCTGTCACCCAACAAGCAGGGCAGGCTGTGGCTGAGCTACCTATCACCTCCAGGAGGGAGGCAGGAGACCCTCAGCCTGGTTCCCCAGGACACAACTGTGTGGGCAGGGGCAGGTGGGGAGCAGTGGCAGAACAACCCATCTCTGCCATCGACAAGGTACAACCTGCAGGGACTGTCCTCAGCTTCCAGTCCCAGTGACACAGCCTTGGGCTGTGCTGGGGAGCCAGGGGGCAGCGTGGGGAGGGATTCCACGCCCAGTGCTGCACTCACAGATATCCAGGGCCAGATCAGAGGCAAGGAGGGCACAGCAGCATGAGGGAAAGGACAGTCACTCCGCTCTTTGGGCTCTAGAGCTGTGTGGATGCCATCTGCCTTTCAGCCCCTGCTTTCTGCTCGAGAGGAGGAGCATGGGTGCAGCATGCCTGTCCATAAAGCCCTGCAGTCTGAGGAGGGGTTTCTCCCCCCTCAGAACATGTCATAGCTTTAGGGCTGGGTCTCAGCCCCAGCAGCACTGCCAGAGCATGGCCTTTTGTGTAATGTGCTGGAGCATCACCCGGCTCTGCTCTCCGCTGACCTTGGATTTAGCAGTGGCTCTGAGAAACACCAGTGGGTTTTGCAGGCACGTGTTACATGTAAGCCACTGGCTGAGGCATCTTTATGCCTCATTCTCCACTCTCCTGGAGCTCCTGCTGATGCTGATGCAGAGGTTTGTCCCCATCTGTCCTGGGTGAGCCAGGGCAGGACGTGGGGGCTGCTCTGTGCAGGTGCTCACCATGGTCGTGTGCCTGTGGGGAGGCAAAAGGCCAAATGGTTTGAGCTCCCTTAGGATTGCCCAGGAATGTGACTGTTTTCCATGAACCTCAAATTAGTGCCTCAAATTCAGCCATGCAGGGCTCAGCATGAGGCTTGGGAGGAGTGATTTTTCCAAGCCAAGTCCTTTCCAACCAGGAGGAACGAACAAACCCTGACCGTGGCATCTTCTGCCTTTCAGTTCATCTAGCAGATTAATTAAGAAAATGCCTTAGAGGAGACAATAATAAAATAAATATGATCAGCCAAGGGATCTCAACCCCCATGGGCTGGGGGCTGCTGCCATCAGCACTCCCAAAGTGCCACAGGGAGAGTCCCAGACTGTGGTGACAGTGATTTGGTTTATGATTCTTTGGCAGACAGAGAAAGGCCCCTCCTCCCCTCGCCCTAATGCTGATTATGCTCAGCAGCAAAAAGAGATTTTAATTTATTAAAAAAAAAAAAAAAAAAAGGGTGCCAGGGTCAGGGCAAGCAGCAAATCTGGATTATATCTTCGGGCATATGTGGGAAGCACGGCTGGGGTGTTTAGTTCTCCCCTCCTCAACCCTAAGCTGGTGGTGTTTTTCCAACAATCTGTTTTGTACATTTGAGGCTGGGGTTGTGCTGAAATGAAGGTGGGGCAAACCCCTTCACACATCAGGGCTGTGCTGCCCTCTCTGCCATGGGGTGTCCTCTGTGCTGTCCCTGGGATCCGTGTCCTTCCCAGGATGAGGCAGCCGATGGGGTGGGGGGGACAGTGCGGGTTGGATGGACTGGGAGGGCAGGTTGGCAGATTTGAGGATTCAGGGGGAATTAGGAAGGCTGTTACACAAGGTCTCCCTGCAGCAGCACAGGTGTGGCTGTGGTTCACCCCACGATGGACACGTTGGCTCGCAGGGTGGGAGCAGGTAATCAAAGACGTGTTTTTCTCTCGTGTTGGCCCCAGAGTCCCTGGCTGATGTGCCTGTGTCTGCACACAGTGCTTGATTTAAGACATTGCTGGGGCTCTGCCCTCCAGACAGGCAGGGTTGGGGTTGTTTCATTCCCCGCCTCGCTGGGACTCGGAGCAGCAAAGATCTTCGTGCTCTTTCGTTCCCCAGGACGCAAGAGTCAAAGCGGATTAAAGGTCCCTCGGCTGATCACATTTATTTCATTATTTGAGTGAAATCCCTTGTAAATACCGCCTCCCTCCCTTTTCTTTTTATAAAAATAGAAGGCACGAAAGAATTGGAGATTTAGGAAAAGTTAATCACAGGAGTCGCTTGAAATCCATTAACCTCTCTCAGCCTGAGCGAGGCTGAGCCGTGCCCGAGCCCCGCTGCAGTGAGAAGATGCTGAACGGCCGGGGGGGGTCCCCCAGCTCCCCCAAAAGCAGAGCTTCACCTGGAAAATACCTGGTTCTGAGCAGGCTGGGTGGTGATTACAGCGCTTTGTTCACAGGCTGGCAGTGATGAACTGCTAATTGCGGTGTTGGGACAAATTGGTTCAAGCACCCAGGCGGCTCCAGAGCAAGTGGGTGAGTGGTGTCACGTGTAGGAGCCCTGCGGCAAATGCTGCTGCCCAGCGTGTGGGCTCGAGGCCATTGGAGATGCCAGAGCTCTTCCCTTTACAGTGTGGTTCCTCTGAGCCTCTCCGAAGGATGGGGTGGGCTTTGCACAGGGATCTCTCCCAGTTTTTCTAATGCATTTCAAACGGATGCAGCTGGTTTCCACTCGCCAGAACCCTCCCTGAGTTCCCATCCCCTCGGTACAACCTCACCCATGGGACCCTCTCTGACTTCCTCTCTTCTCCCAGGACCAGCAGCCTTGTGCAAGACCATCAGTGC